CAGCGCTCCCTTTCTGATTTTCCTTGGCTTCCTTGGATACGCTTGTGCTTGGAGGAGAAGACGGAACATTGCATCTTGGAACAAATCTGCTTTTGATCATGCAAATGAGTGCCCAGTTAATGTAGGCAGACTGTCAATTTCACCAGTAAGGAAGAGAGAAAGGGGGGTGGAAAATCCCTATCACGGAGACTGATGAAGAATTTCTATAGAAAGCTGCTACCTCAGAAGATAAGATCGTTCCCCAAGAACGGAGCCTTTCTAGGCATCTCAGGCAGCCCCGATGCTCTGTGGGTATGTTGCAAACTGTGCTGGGTGCCAGTGGGGCTCCGTGGGTGGGCTACAGCTGTGCTGGGGTGGCAGGGGTGAGGGGATTTAGTTCATCTCTGCCAAGGTGATGGCTGGGTCTGGGGGCCTGAATGGTGGGTTCCTAATCCTCCTGAGACTTCCTGTGTAAATTTATTAACTGGGCTCCGGCTAGCACTTTACAGGACTGGCATGAGCAAGAAATGTGTGTGCACATATGTGTTTGCTGTGATGTGGAAACTGGTCTCGGGTCCGGAGAGGCGATTCGGTGACTGCCTGTTCTTTGTACTCCCGCTTTCTGTGGCTAACTCTGGATCAGGGACACTAATCCTATTAAAATTAAAGAATTAAGTAAAAAAAACAAAAACAAAACACTACATTTATTGAGGTTAAACTACTTTCCAGACATTGAGATATAGTTAAATCCTCTGATCTTTTCTATAAGGATATTTACTCTTAATGGCCAATTTATAAGCAGGACAAGTGAGGCTCAGGCTCTGGGAAACTTGGATGCTTCTGACTGTAATTTAAGGACATTCACGACTCTCTTCCTGTTTTGTTGAGAGGCAGCCAAGTTCATGGGGGTTCTGGTCAGTTTCTTAGCCATGTGTCACGCTTGCTGGCAGTGGCCCTATGGGCCTAGCAACTCCCTGCCCCTCACCTCTTAAGGCTCAGGAATAGGATGCCCATTGCCCCACACGGCATCTTCAAGTTGTTTATCTTGTTTGTTCTCTACTTCCTAGCCTGACTGTGACTTCTTTGAGGGTAGGAATTCAATATTTATGCCTAAACACTTGGCCCAGCACCTGGGACATAGTAAATACCCTCATAAATGTTGAATGGCTCAATGAATGGGTCTTGGTATTCAACTAACAGGCGCGTGCTTGGCACTGCCTAGGTGCATATGCAATTAGGGTCTCCTAGGCAGACCCTAAAGGAAATGAGGCATTGTGCTACCCAGGACCATTTTAGAAGAGAGGGATGAACAAAGGCAAGATGCTAAGGTAAGAGTGTGCTCAGCATAGCTAGGGATACCAAAGGGGCGACAGGTGTGGCGGGAGCACAGTGAGCCATGGAGGGAGGAGTAAAAGTGTGGCCAGGGAGCTACAAAGGCCACATCAAAGAGGTTCTCTAAGTCATCGTGAGGGCTGTGGCTTTGACTCTGTGAGGGCTGGAGCCACTGAAGGGCTATGAGAGGAGAAGTGGCCTGATGTGACTTCTGTCTGCAGTGACTGTTCCAGCTGCAGTGGTCCTTGCTGACCGTGAGGGGCTGGACAGCAGGGACGCAAAGGGGTTTCTGCCAAGATCCCAGAGAAAGAGGATGGCAGGATCAGAGCGATGGCCCAAGAGGTGGTGAGAGGCAGCTGGGTGCTGGGTACACTGCGAAGACAGAGGAGCTGGGACTGCTGATGGAATGTTGGCAGAGGGCGGCGTCCAGATGCTTTCTGGTGTCGAGCCTGAGCATGTGGAGAGTGAATAGTTGTTTACTGAGGTGGCAAAGACTGCGGGAGAATGTGCTTGCTTGGGGGTGGGGATGGAGTGGGGAGCAGCAGTTTGCTGTGGATGTGGGGTGAGGAGCAATGAGAAGTTGGCCAGATTGTGAGCTAAGCCAGTCTAGAGTTCAAGGGAAAGGTCTGGGCCAAAGCTACAGAGAGTCTGGGACTGCACACTTAGGAGAAATCAGCACGGAATGACCTTGAAAACCAGGCTCCAGCTTCCAACGTGGCCTGTGCTTGATCCTCCTCCCTGTCCTCTGACTAGTGCCTAGGTGCATGCTGGGGAATGCAGGAACCCCAGGCTGACCAGTGCTGCCCCATTCCTGAAAGAACAAGGGAAATGTGCAGCACAATTTGTAATCTCGCTAGAGAATGGGCATGGAGAGCGCAGAGCCTGGAAGTGGAGCTTGGGTGGCAGCTGTGGAATGGGCTGGGAGACTCCCTGCTACGCCTGCAGCAAGGTTTCTCTGTTCCTGTGCCACCTCGAGCCTGTGCCTTCCAAGCCAGGCCTGCTTGGGCAGCCAGCCTGCTGTGGGAAAGAACTGTCTGTCTTTGCAAGTGGACAAACGAAACTTTGCCTGCAGAGCCTCAGGGGAAACTGAAGGAGAGGAGTGAAAACGCAGCATCTAGCTGGGATCTGGTTGAAAGCTGCCATGGTGGGGTAGTTGAGGAATTCAGGATAGGGTGGGGAACGTCGCAAAGGTACTACCAGGGCAGTGGTTGGCGTGGACAAGCCTAAGGCAGCCACATGTCTAGGCAGCCTTCTCGCAGTCAGCTAGCACGATAGAGAAATGCAACCTAAGCTGCATTCTGATCCACCACCTTCCCAAACCTCCAGCACCACTCCCCTTCCTAGAACTTCTACTGCGGGCAGCAGGGGAAAGAAGCTCCTGGTGTGCCCTTCTTCCCACCTCATGTGCATCTGCTCTGTCTGGGATGATCCCAAGCCGCCTGAGAATATGAAATTAGATTCTCCTTTTTGACAATAGAGTCTGAGATGGCTAGGGTCAGTTCAGTACAGTGGTACCTCGGCTCATGAATGCTTTTGTTTGTGATTTGGCTTGAAAACAGAAGTGTTTGGCAAAATTTTGTCTCTGTTTGCAAACTCTGTATCAGGTAACAAACATGACCAGGGCCATCTTTCCAAAACAAACACAAATGTGGCCAACCTTTCCAAAATTGTGGGACAAATTAAGTTCATGAACCAACAACCATACATCTTTATCTGCAGGACAATGTTAAATAAGGCATTCCCAGGAAAAGGCGATACTGAATATCACATGCATATATGTATATCGAGCAATAGCAATAAACAATTCATAATATTCTTTCTTGCATATCTACACCTCCTGAGGTAGCTGCTGTTCATCTGTGTACACCTTTCTCCTTTTGCAGACAAATAAAAAGTACACACATGTACATATACACAGGTACTATAGTACTACAGGTTACTTTTTAAAAATATGAGTGTTATGTAAATTCCACATTCATCTACATCTTTGTTTTCCATTTAACAGCAGACATCCATTTTCCATTTAACAACTGACATCCCTGGAGGAGGCGGAGAGATATCTAGTTCATTCTTTTCAACAGCAGCATAATGTTTAAAAGTTTATACGTGTTTTAATTTAGTCAGCCACTTCCCTGCTAATTTTGAATTCCTTCCCTTTTTTGCCACAACAATTAGTGCTATGAAAAATACCCTGGCACATATAGATTCTCTACAGTGAGATATATTACCCAAGGGAAATAGAATAATCCAAAGGAATTCACCATCCTGTCTTCATGAATTAATAATTTTTTAAAAGAATATTCATAGTGCTATCAGAGACGCCTACTGTGTGTGCCTTGGGGAGGGTGCCCTCCTACTTATGCCCAATTCCTCGGGGATAGGCCGGATGCAGCTCACTCTACCCCCAGCCTCCTCCTGGCCTACCTTCACTGCCTTGGCTCTGTTAATGAGCCCATCATCCTGAGAGCTCCCGATGAGCAAATCCACCTTGGCCCGCGGAAACCTCTGCAGGGCTCTGGCTGGGGCCTCTCGGAGGAACTGGCCATCCACTACGGGACCCCAGTAGTGGAAAGGGCCACTCACTGCCAGGAGCTGCAGGGTGCAAAGGAATGCCATTATTTGTTAGGTCTTACCTTCTTCTTTTAAGAAACAGTACTAGAATAATGAGCTTCATTGCTTTGCATAGTGAGGTCCTAACTGAAATGACTACCCAAGATGGTTATTCACCTATAACACCCTTGGGAAAGAAAGAAAACTGACCACAGCCACAGGCAGGCTGGACAGCAGGTGGCAATGCCCAGGGGCTGATGGCAAATCTCACTCTCAACAGCGGGTGGTCCCAAAGGGGAGCATCCCAGCACCTGCCTACAGAGCCAACAACAAATCGCCAGGGAGGAAAGGGTGTGTAGTTGAAGAAAGGGCTGTGGCTCTCATATGTGAAATTAATTAATCAGCTTTAGCCACCATGACATCTACCACATTTAGGGGAACAGAGGGTAAGATTCATTCCAGTCTTTGCTGAAGAAACCAAGTTTTCAGCTGAAATTACAAGTTATTCCTGCTGCTGTCTCCTTTGCTAATCTCAGGGACAGTCAGAGACTCTGGCTCTGAGCAAGGTCTTTGCAGGCGAGAGGGCAGGCACAAAGCTACCCTGTGTAAGTACTAGGGTAGCCCAAGTCCACGGCCTACCTTTGAGGCTTTGTCCATAATGCTTAGAACACAGAGCTGTGATCTACCACAGTCCTGGCATAGGGGGTATGGTCCCTCACTTGTAGTATTGCATTTTATCCTACTGCTCTACAAAGGCTGCATCATTAACTCCTTTTCCTAGGTGAGAAGTCCAAGTTGCAGAGAGACCTGTGCACCTTCAGTACCTAGGCTTGACACACAATGGCCTATGGCTATCAGGAAATGTACATTCTACCTACTGGGTGGCTTGCATGGGTCATGTCCCCTCTCTAGGTCTTGGCTCTCTATTTGTATAAGACTAGACCTCCCCTCCCAACCTGCATACTGGTGCTCACCTTTGTCTGGGCGTCATTGAGGACATTTGCAGGTATCTGACGCAAGCAGGATACTACTTCTTGGCTGGATGAAGTGGGGCAGTTGACCTCCTTTGCTAAAGCCATTGCTTGTTGCTGAGCCCTGTCAGGGCTGATGACAGCAGCAGGGGAGAGTGCAGAGCCTCCCTGGAAGAGAGAGAAGGTTTAGGGCAAGGGTCCCACCATCTCATGCTCGTGCTCTTGCTCATGCTCAGCCTGGAAAACTCAGGGCCACATCAGAACATCTCAGAGCCCTTCATGAGACTGCTCAAAGGCATACAGGCCAGGAATGATGGACAGCAGATCGGCATGCTACGTGAGCTTCAACCAGTCAAAGTCAAGGCCTCGGTTTCCTCATCTGTGAAGTGTGGGTATTTGGTGAGGCACCTCTGGTCATGGGTGTTTGGCTGCAGTGGTTATGCAGGAAAAGTTCAGGTGGTTTCTCAACAACGACAAAGGTCAGAACAGAAAGGAACTCTGCAAAGGTGGAACCACATCCTGCTTCCACCTCCAGGGCCCAGTTAAAACAGCTAGCTCTCATGGTTCAACTAGGACCAAGTCGCACTTTAATATGGAGCCCACCTAGGAGATGATGAAAATACATATCCCTTGGGAAGGGAAATTGTTCCAGCCACATCAGTGTATGACACTGTTAACACGACAGGTCCCTGGGGGCTTTCCTGCCAGGGGAAGCTGGGTTTCAGGAAGCTGGTACCTGTCGAAACCACCCGTAGAATTGGGTCTCCTGCCCAGGGAAGGATGAAGCAAAGGGCCAGATTTCTGCCAAGAGAAGGGTTCCAGGCAGAAATTCCCAGTGAGCAGGAATCAGGGACAATATGGTGGGACGGTGCACTGCTATTGCTAGTGCTACTGCCACAAATAGAGCAAGGGTGACTACCAAGGACGGAGACCTGAGGTAACTTTAGTCCTGAGTGTCCCATTTTGCACATCTGATCCTCACACGGGCTGTGTGAGTTAGTTTCTGTAATAGCTCCCATGTTAAAATTCTGGAACTAAACATATAGGTGAAACTAAAGGCATCGGTAGTATGAACAAGGCCAAGCATCGGGGCAGGCAGCAGCCCATGGGCACACAGCCAGGCTCCAAGGCATACTCTGCCATGGGGCCCCCTGTGAAGAGGGAGGGCCTGGTTCCACACCTGGAGCACTGAGGGAGAGGCTGCTCTGACCTCAGTCCTCTGGTCCCTGAAAAGGGCAGCTGGTTGCACAGCACCACTCACGACCAGCTGGCAGGATGCCTCTCCCAGGAACTTGGTCTGCTGCACCTTGTGTAACCTCCACAATCATAGCCTGAGGCATGTGCAGAGATCACCCCACTTTCCAGACAAGAAGGCTCACAAAGGACAGAGACAATGCTTATGAATTAAGTACTTCACATATACCAGGAGGTTCACAACAAAAAGAGGATGTGTGATCAAAACACACAATGTGTGCTAAGTTTAAAAAGAATATTACAGTGAAAGACATGCTGTCACTAATACCCCTCAAAATACTCTGTCCTGCTTTGAATACTCTTGTTCCATCATTCTTGTTACTTACTAAAGCAGTTCTGGAAGTCCTCTTTCACGAGGGCTTGTATGAGGTGTGATAAAAAATACGGTGAATGCTGCTGCCATTCATCAGAAAGGCAGGCTGGTAAAAATTAGGGTGCTCCTTCATCCACCTATTTACCAGATCTGGCACTGTAAAAATTCTAGCTCCTGCCCAAACTCAAAATCAAAGGTAAACATTTTGAATGGATTTGGCATAGCAAGGCAGCCATGATATCTCAACTAAAGACATTCATGAAAGAAGACTCCCAGAACAGATTCAGAATGTGTCACGCACAAGAGAAGAAGTGTGCTCCCACTGGTAGTGGATTATTTTGAAGGGGATTCATGGCAATGTGTCTATTACTGTAATGTACTTTTGAAAATTTAAACATGCACTGTGGTTTTCGGTCACATCTTACAGTGACTGCTCACATATACTGAGCGCTCTAGATTTTAAACACACAGTTCCTGCTCTACATAGCCAAGTGCAGGACAACCAGGAGGGGCCGCCAGCTTCACCCACAGAGAGGCCATGAGGATGTGAGAATTTCAGGACAGGCCCCTGAAGTTTGCAACATTTCACGAGCTATAAAAAGCCAAGCCTCCTGATAGGGTGAGGAAGTGGTTAAAGGCGTGGGCTACCCTGGTATTGTGAAATAGGTGGAGAACTTTCCTCTCAAAGTGTTTTGTTCTAATCGATCTTTCTGAAGGTGGTCTCTTTCTTCATGGAAGATTGGCGGTTATGCATGCCAGCAGCTGCAAGCCTTCCTTTTAGATCACTTGAGAGAAGACAAAGTATTTGGAGGCAGAGTGCTAAACAGGGTCTTGCAAAGAGCATGGGCTTTGAGGGAGAGGGACAGGTCAGGACTCCAGCTCTGTCACTCTGATGGAGTGCCCTGGGACAGCAGCCATCTCAGAGCCTGTATTTCCTCATCTTGAATGAGAACAGGAACCCATATTCACAGGGCTGTTGTAACGAAGGATGGGGCGAACAGGGCTGACCACGGGTGTCCCGTGCATGGTGATGTGGTGATTAGGGCCTGTCAGCTCATGTGGCCTTGCAGGCCATGGTGGCACTGAGGTCTTCTCAGGTCACCCAATCATACCACAGGCCCACGAGGCCAGGCTTATGTTTTATCTAACTCTGACCTGGCTATTAAGTGGCAGTGACTTTCCTCTTGTTGTTTTTTTAACTTTAAAAATAGCATGGGCCAAAACCACAATTGCTGACCACAGCTTTCCCTTCCTGGAGTCTCTGAACATTGCCTTGACCTCAGAAAGCCACTGTCAACTCAGACTAAGACCTGACTCAGCCCACCCAAGCACACGTGGAGATGCCCAGTCACAGACAGAGACCCCAGTCACCACACACTGACGCAGAGATAGTGAGACACATGGCCAGACAGACTCGGAAGTACCCAGACACGTGCCCATCAAAGACACAGATGCAGGGGTACACAAAGAACACACAGGCACACGCAAAGGCAGACTCACACACAGACACACAGAGATACTCGGCACACTCAGACACACAGACACAAATACAAGGGTACACACATAATCACAAGCAAAGACACACACTGTCACAGACAGACACACACAGAGGATATCAAATAGATACATACTTACACACACACTCTGAAATACACAGACACACACACACACATTTTCACATACAAACACATATACACAAACACAGAACGTGACTTAGACACACAGACAGAGTCATAGAAACACACATAATGAGACACTTGAACATGCTCAGACACACAGACACTGGTGGAGTGACACACACAGACACTCAGACACAAATGCAGATACACTCATGAACAGACAGTGCACACTTATAGGCAGAGACACAAAGACACTTAGACACACTTGTGCAGCCCTGATGCAGAGATACATACTTAGACACATGCAGACACAGAAACACACACACACACACACACACACACACACACACAACCCATCCTGCTGTGGACAGTTCAACAATGCCTGTCCTTCATAAACCTGCTGTGAAGATATCAAAAAGCAAAGCAACAGAAAGTTGAAGTTTCTATGACAAACTTGCTGTCTCAAGCCCACCCTGATGGTTCTGCCGTCGGGTGGGTGACTCAAGGGAGCCAGAGTTAACATCTCAGAGCTTTGCAGTAGCACCCACACACAGACATAACCGTGGTGATAATAGGAGCCTCAGCACTCACCATGCACTAGGCACTGTGAATGCCGTGCATGTAGAAGTTCCTCTGACTCTCAGAGCCTCCCAGAGACGTAGGGACCAAAGGAATCTCAAATCTGCAGGTGACAGGTTGCAGGCAGTGACCAAGCCATGTGCCCAAAGTCTCCCAGCTGGATGGGGAGAGGAGTGGCTGCTGGCTCCACAGCTGTCTGCTCTAACCACTACACACTGTCAGTCTCATGCCTGTGGCCATCAGCCCCTCTCTGTCCTTGTGAGAACTTCAGACCAATGCCAAGTGGAAAGACCCTGGCTCAAGGAAGAGGCACAGTATGGTTTCAACTTCAGCTTTGCCTGCTGCCATGATACCAGTTGCCCTTGGCTCCTAAGTCTTGGATTTCTAATCTGTAAAAGCAGATGTTATGCTCATTCTGCACAGTTACAGATGTGCAGGTTAAGTGAAGTAATGGACGCAACATACCCAAGGTGGGATTAACACTCAATAAGTTCATTGTAATTAACACAGGGAACATTGTTAACCATAGGCTTATTTTCCACAGTCTATTTATTGTCTTGGCTAAGACAGCACTGAGTTGAGTCCACCAGTGCATCGCAGGCTGACAGGTATGAGATTCCTGTGGTCTCCACTGCAGAGGCCAGCTTACCTCACATCTCTGTGCAGCTTTGCACGAAGCCGACACAGAGTGGCCTACCTACCTCACTGTAGGACCGCAACTGGCCAAAGCACGTTCTCACACACCCTTATGGTTTAATTCCTGCCATTCACCATGGAGTGAGGATCAAATAGGAAGGACTTTGTCTCTCTAGGGACATACTCTGAACACAGAACTTGAAGCCACATGGTCTGGGCTCCTCTTCATGACTTCTGGCCAGAAGAGATCAGATGTGAGACTCCCGGTCCCTGCTGGACCACTGGGCCTCAAGAAGCCTAACCAGCTCTAGCTGGTTTATTACTGGACTGGAACTGATCAGTATGTGTTACCTGAGAGTTAACATTGTAATATTTATTTTGATGATCTTATATCAGGTCACATGGGTCAGAAAAAAGCCCATGTCTCCAAGCTCAGGTTAGGTAGATGATTTCTGAAAATATGGACTGTGTCCAGGTGGCCACACATATGAGTGATTTCAAGGTGAGACTCTTTGCCATCAGGATCAAGTGCTGCCATCCTCTCACTCAGAACACAAAGAAGGCAGGTGCCATAGTAACCTGGGGGAGGCTGCAGGAAAGATGTGGGACTTGAGAGAACTCTCACGGCAGGAGATGATGGAAAGAACACAAAGAGGGTGGGAGAACATCCCTAGAGGATGAGCAGAGCCAACAGGCGGTGGCATCGGTCCTTTACCATCCACACCAGTGCCGGAGATAGGAGCTGGGTCAGCAGCACCCAGCACTCA